GGGTGGGGGGGTGAAATCAGAGCGAAAGCAAATTTGGGCTTTGAATCCTTCCTCATATTCTCTCACTCAGCAGAATTACAGTGGCATGAAAATGAAATGCTTTAGTGGACGAATGTTTATTTAGAGAGTCTCAGTTCATTTAGATTAAATGTAGATTGTAGTTTGGAGTTTAAGAAGTTTTTTTTAAGAAAATGTAAGTGGCATATAGCTAAAAAAAACTTGTCATCATAATGTTAGTGGTGATGTATGTGGTTTTCATGGCATTGCCATGTGGTTGCGAAGGTGTTCTGAGTGCTTTTTAGCACATCACTGTGGGGTATGAACACACTGCAGCCAGTGTTATTTTAGTATTATTTATATACTACTGTAGTATTTATTAATATTATGAAGTAGCATTTATTTGTAGATTTTCTAATTTTTTAATTTCACATTTCAGATTAAGCTTTTGCCAATTTATCTTTTTTTTTTTATTCACATATTTTGACTCGAGTTGGTATCTCTGTACTGTAGTTGTTTTTAGAGGCCCTGCAGTCTATGGGCACCACATATACAGTATATATATATATATATATATATATACATACAGTCACAGAGACAGTGTTGCCAGATCAGGCTGGGTCCAACAAAATAAGATCAAAATAAGCGATTTTCATCACAGAAATAAGCCTAAATAAGGCCAAAACTCTATATAATCCCAACCCATGATTGCCCATATTTATATATATAAAAAAACAATCCCAAATATACTAATAAGTGGACATGCCAACACTGCCAAAAACAGCTCACTGTTTTAAAGCAGATGCTTAAACAAGAAGCAATAATATAGTGGTTTACTTAGAGAAAATAAAACTGTCCTCGATTTTACATGTATGAGTGATTACGCTACAATAATATTCTACAATAAATCAAATCAGGGAGATTTTTTAACAATGTGCCTGAGCATCTGAATGAGAACGTTTTCGTTTGTTTGTCTCATTTCTTAATTACTCTCAACATGTTGCCAGTTTGTCTAAATATTAATTAATTATAGACATCCAACAAGTAGTTAAAATAATAGTTTTAGAACTATAAAAAAAAAAATAGCAAGTGCAAGCAATCACCATGCTGAAGCTGACCGCTGCAATCGTTGTAGTTGCACCGATTCATTTTCTTCTGCTTCCGAATCGTACTCGGGCTTAAACATTTGTTTGCATTCTTGTTTATCACTCATGGATGCCAAAACATTATTATGATTACCACTCATCAAAATGTCAGAAGTGACTCTGTAGGATTCACTCCTTAGACTTTGCAGTGTATATGCGCCAAAAGTGTTCTGAGTGGTACCTGATAAAAAATAAGTGTGATCGCTTAGAAAAGTAACAGCAAGCTTCTCA